CACACTGACCGATTCTAGAGTGTACTCACTTTTTGAGTACACAAAAAGAAACACTTCTCCAGAAAAAAAAGTGAAGAATACAACGAATTCCTAGACAATAGAATGTATGGCTTTGTAGATGAACCGAAAACTCACACCTTATTGCATATGTTTCTATTTAAATTAAATTTTACGAGAAAAAATTTCTTTATTTTGTATCGTCACATGTATGCAAAGTTTACTGTGTCAACAACCAAAAAAATATTTGAAATAAAGTTAAATAAGTTAGAACACAAAATTTAAATCACGAAAGTAGATTGTGAGAAAAAAAGTTTTGAAGCTAATCGTCTCTCCTATTCTCAATAATGAAAATAGAACAGGATTCAACATCATACTATTCATTGAAACAACGACTTCTTCCATAAACAGATATTAGTAATTTTGAAAAAATGAATAAATATAGATAGGCATATGAAAAAAAAATGATTAACTAAGATATAATGATTTTTGGAAAATTGTGATGTTATATGTGATTATCAAACGATGTTCGATGGAATATTTTGCAAAGCGATCAATTTACATTTATAAACATTTACCAAAAATTCAGAAATAAATTTGAAAAAAGTTAAATAAATTTAAAATAAAATCTAAATATGTTTGAAGTATTCTAGAATGTGTTTACAAGCCTTTTAGTATCTTTAGAATGTAACAGGAACATGGTGCGATCATTTTCTTACAGAATATTCTTTAGTGATGATTGGATTTTCGTTATTTATGATTTATTTTTTCTGAAGTCATGCATTTCGATGATTGTATTGTTGAGTTTTAACTTATGCTTTTCATTAAAAAAATTCTCAGAAATTTACAATCTAAAATAATTTTACAGGATAATACTGCGCTTGTCAGGCATCGAACTGAACTCGAACCTGTGGAAGTTGGTTTGATTCCTTTTCTGATAGTTATCGTTAAATACTGTCAATGATGAATTGCTTTTTACATTAAAATATTCAATTTTTTTCTTTATTATGAAATTCTTTTTGTATTGATAATAAAATAATAAAAAATACGAATAATAAATCAAGAAAAAAAGAATTGTTATTTGAATAAAAAGAAACAATTGTGTAGTGCGAGATTTTTTGAATTTATCATTTTCAATGGATTTTCAGAAAACAGTTCAATAGGATGAAGTATGGTAGCTGCTTTTACATATAATCTACTAAATCAAAACGATTCAAAGATTGTAGATGTGGTTAACCAGAATATCAACATCTATACTCACATTCTTCTTGATATTCTTAAAAGTACTGGTTATAAATGCAAGTTTTAATCCAGATTTGTGCAACTTTCTCTTGAACTCTAACAACATGGCTTAGAAAAGTCTTCGTTAAAACTTCAATGGCTAAAATATGTTTAATGGATACATGTAATCGACTTATTTACTAGTTAAATCAATGATTGAAATCATAATAAAACATACGATATGAAATATAAATCAATAAGCCAAACAGAAATTAGAGCACAAAATAAATGGCAATCTATTCTGATTGGTTTAGAAAATTTAGATATGATTGTTATAATAGAAACCGATTCTAGTAAAAAGAAAAAAAGTAGATAAATTAATTCTTGTTGCTATGTTTCCATTTTATGAATTGATATTCTTAGTCTTTATTGAAGGTGTGGGTATGGATGACAGAGAGAGAGAGAGTATATGATTCATCAACATATCCAGACAACATCTACATTCACACCGTATTTTGAATGTGTTCAAGTAAATCAGCATATAATTTTTCTGGATTCGATTCATTTATGAATGCTTGTTGAAATTGACGTCAATGTTCAATATTCGTTAACTACAATAAATAAAATAGATTTTTTGTTTTTTGTTGATACAATTGATATTTGCAAGTTTTCTTTTAATATACCTGCAGATACTATTTTCGATCAGCAATAAGAAATAAACGATAGTCTGATTCTTCGAAACGAACAATGAAACGTGATAACATCAATAAAAACCTAAAAAAGTAAAAGATATACTATATTATCTATGAAAATTCATTTTGACATTTCATGGCGAAATTTATTGATTTTGAATTGATCGTCATTCCTTCGGATTGCAATAAAGAGTTTTTGTTTTTCATTAATGTTTTACTATTTATCTTTTCCAAATAAATTTTAATTGTATGTGTAAGTCTTGATAATTTTTAAAAAGAAAACTAGGAAGAATATTTAACCATAGACAGAAAAAAAAAATAGTTCATCCAACAGCCCAAATACGATTTCACTCTATTTTACTTATAAGAGGGTGTGGGTGTGGGTATCATTATAGGTCTTGTCTTCACCCACACCCACATCCTGTGATAGACATGCACTTAACATAAGACAAGTTAGCCCCCATATAGCCATACATAGTGATTTTGTTTGTGCAATATTTGTCATTAATAATAAAGTCCATTCATTAACTTTAGCTGAATAACGTGCATTAATTAAAGCACGAAAAAAAAAACTAATGTGTGCAAGTAATAATGATAAAGGACGTAATAAAAGTAAAGCTTCATATGGTAATGTTGATGATTGTTTTGTACGTGTATATAATTCTTCAACAAGTTCAATAAGAATATTATCTGATGATGATATTATTGATGAACTATCAATTATTGTTTGTTATTTATTAACATGTTCATTATTTAATGGATTTTGTATTTTTATTTGGTCGTTGTAATAATGTATAAATACATGAAAGTATTAACACCATATATCATTTTTGGGATATTAACCAACTATTAAAAGTTTTTCAAGACTAATTGATATAATTTTTTGTGTTAAATTATCATCTTTAATTAATGATAATCAAATATCATATGAATTTAAATTAACTTCATGACTTTCAAGTAAAAATAAACATGATGCATATGCATGAGTTTTAGTTATTAATTTATAATTAAGTTCAATTAAACGTAGATATAATTCATTATATTCTTTTGTTGTGTGTTCAAGTAATATACTAGATTTACATAAATTATAACTTATTAAGGATATTATTAAATCATCTTCATCAAACCATGTACAAATAAATCAGATAGATATATAAATGAACCTATTAATTTATATTACATATATTTCAATTAGAATTTATAATGATAATGTTAAATCAAAACCATGATGAAAAAATAATCGATCAAATAAACTCTAAATTATATATTTTTAAAGATAGATGCCAGCAAAGAAAATGTTCATACTCTAATTTTTTGATTGATAGAATATATTTGAAATTATTGATATAAGCTTTTATTTCTATGAAATAAGATAGTTTGCATGTATTATATATCAAATCAAAGTCAGAGAAACACTAGATTTTCTCTTTGATGAAATTAATAATTTAGCAATGAATTTATCTTTCTTTTAACTTAGAGTTCTATTTGTCGATTATTAAAACATATGTGAGACTTACATTAATTGATAATGGTAATGTATTATTACTTTGGATTGATGTTAATATAGTATCATATGAAAATTGTCCATAGGATAATAAATCATGTGTACCTAACCGTTCAATATTTGTAAATAACTTATTTGAACTTGTATCTAATGTTGAACGTGTTTGCATATATTGACCATCGATAAAAAAACAAAACAGATAAAATCTAGTTTATTTTTCAATCTTGTTACCATTGTGTTGCATTTGTTTCTAAAGTTTCTTCTTTTTTTTTTACAATTATTTGTTGTTTGTTTATTTTCATCATTAGATTGATTTGTGGTGAATTAATTGAAGCTAAAAATGAAGCCTATATTTCTTGAAATTGTATTCTTAATAATCAACCAACTCCAAAATTGTCTTTATATAAATATTGGTAAACAAAATAATAATATAGATATACAATGTAAATCATGTCAATAAATATATGATATATATATATTTAATTTTTTTTTTGTTAAATAATAAAGATGATCTTTTATCTGGTTCAATTAAATTTAAATATGATTATAATATATTTGATATAGTTAAACCATGTCGTTGATAAATATATTCAAATATTGATAATAGTGTTTTCGATAATGTACAACATGATATTATTTGATCTGTTTCACAACTAAGAAATGATGTTTTTTTTTGAAATATATTTATATAAATTATTTCTGATATAAATATTATAAAACGTAATAAATCACGTATATCACCTGTTGAAAATTGACATGTTAATTCAACATGATTTTGTATTTTATCAAAATATATTGATATAGAATCTATGAATGCAATTGAATATGGTTGATTATTAGAAGCATGAGAAAAGACTTTTTTCATAAATTGTATTAGGTGTTGTTTCAATGTCATTTTAATTTGTTTCATTTGATATAATTATACAAAATCCTAGAAAAACAAACAAAGAACAGATTTATATTGTTTCTTATTTTCTAAAGTCAATTTTCATTTACTATAAGAATCATCCTAAAAATTTAATGCTGTGGAAAAAATCCAATACGTTTTCGGATGAGTTCACGAGTTCAAACTTATAGAAAGTTTATCGAAATTCTCGAATGCAATTTATTTCGAAATATAATATTAGAAAGACGTCGTTTTCTTTAATTGTAATAGTGCAAACAGCACGACTGAGAATTTGATCAATAAGATTCGAGAGAAATTATTCGGTCATTGTACTAATGTAGCTTAAATGCCTTCCTTTACGATTTGTATTACCTGAAATTCTGCATATTTTCTATTTCAAAATATTTTTCGAAATTTTGAATTATTCAAAAGTCTCATCTATTACTAGCACATAGACAATGTCAAAGTAAAAAAAAAACATTTCTTTTAATTGGATTAAAATTTTTATTATACATACATATATTTATTTCGATCAAATTAAACTAAAATATACCGGTGACATCATAAATGGTAATCCTGTTTTATAAGTTAGATTTTTAAGCATTTGTTCATAAATTTTTCTTGTTATATTCACAGGATCATTAAGATTATTAAAATCTTCTTTAATAATATCAATTGATGCTGTTACTGATAATATTTATAAAAGTTACGGTATATATTTAGGTCATAATTGTTTATTTAATGGTAATGGAAGGAATTGTTCAACTAATAAAACTAATAGAAGACCACTTTCATATAAATGTATTCCTTCAGAAACGAATAAATGACTTCCAACTGATGTATGATGTATAAGATCAAATAAAAAATAATAATAATAATTGATAATGTGTTGTTATTGATGTAAAAAGTTCAACATATAATTTATCATGATATATTAAATCACAATAAGATTGTAATTGACCACTTATTAGATAAATGTATTCTTGATGATGATGGTGTTAATATTGGTGACCACCATGCTTCTTGTATATAATCAAGTATATTCAGAATATGTGTCCATTGTAATAATAATGAGATATAAAATAATGATCATAATAATTTAAAACATTCATTTAAAATAGTTAAAAATGAAAATGTCTCAAGACAATGTACAGTTTCATCATGAATTCATAATTGATGAAAATCATTTACAATTGTTCGAAATTTGTTTAGCTAAAATAAAATCATAGATCTTATATTAGCATAGGAATTTTAAAGCCAAATGTATTTCGCTAGCTCATTAGTAATTAATGAATTGCAGAAAAGTTTTATCTTCAAATTAATGGGTGATATGTACATAAAGATAATCGGATGCAAGAGAAACTAATGTCATATTGATTTGACCACATAATTGTCAAGTATTAGTTAAAATTCGTAATATTACGTCATGTAAAATTCGAAGAAGAGCTCTGAAAACAAAAACGAGAATAATACTTGTTAAATTATAAATAAAATCATTTCGAATACTTACGCACTAAAAGTTTCATCTCGTGTTCCATTAACTGATAATAAAACATCATTCTATCGTGTTAATATAGCATCTTCAGTTAAATTTTGTACAAGATATCGAAGTATTATATTTATATTGATTAACTATCGATTTGTAGATTGACAATTGACATTCTAAAAAAAATTTAAACTACAGAAAAATTTTATAAATAAAAACAACGGACATTTCTATTTACTAACGCTCGAAAAGCAACATCAAATAGTGTTAATTGTGTGGAATAAATATCCAAAAGTGATTGATTCTATTTGAACAAAAAAAAGTAACGTAAAATCAGAGACTATTAAAAGAAAAATAACCTGAGATTGTAAATGAGCAAGAAGTAAATCGACAATTTGTCGGGAAAGACGGTTCCATTTATCATCTTCAATTTGAACACTATTAATAATAACTGTGAACAATCGTAAAGCCTATAACAATATAAATTCTATTACTATTTTTTCAGTATATATACATGACATGAAAAGATACTTTTATTTATAATAATTAAGACGCCTAATTTTTCTTCAAACTCAAATACATAACGACAAGATGATTATTTTCAGATCATCGATTCGTTGAAGTATGGGTGTGGGTTCAATCGAGGAGAAAAATTACATCTACACACCCACACTCACACCCTCTCGAGTTTCTAAGATATTGGAGACTTTATAGAAGGACACCTTTTCTTCACTCTCATTTAATAAAACTTTTTAGGAATTTTAATTATTCGCATAACTCGAACAAGAAAAAAAATCATATAAAACTGGTTCTAATGCTGCCAAAGCTAAATAAAGAATTTTAACGATAATTTCTTTTTCTCGAAAATGTTTTTTTTTGCTTCCTACCATGCATGTGTTTCAGGTTCATATCCCCTTGCTAATAATGAATCATAATGTTTTATTAAATCTTGTATTTTAATAACTTGTTTTGAATGAAGTGTATCATGTGATAACATAACAAGAAATTCAGCAATACAATAAATATAATGCTATTTAAAAATAAACGAAACGATTAGAAATGCAACGAATTTCATCAGCTTCTAATTAACTATAATTAACACGAATTAAAAGTAATTGAACAAGTAAATCGAGTACAGCAGCTTGAAGATCACTTTCATTTGTATATTAATATATTTTTTAAGACTAATTTTTTAGTTCAATAAAAACTGTAAAATAGAAAACAAAAAGACAGAATAGATCAAATTCGTTTTTTTTGTTTATTTTACTTTCGTATTGCACTATTTATACTTGATGCATAACGTGAACCAAATAAAATAAATTATCGATTGTCGAATACTTATTGTATGAATATAAGTTAAAGAATTATTTAATGATACTTGTGAAGAAAGATTTGAAGATTTAATAAAAACTAAATTAAAAGAATATTTTTAGATGAATGTTGTGTTAACAGAAAAAATGATTTTCAAATTTCGAATTGATAGTGTGTCTTGCAGATCGCTCACGTCAACTAGATGATTTAATATTCGAATTTCAAGATAGAACCGAATCAAAAGATCGGACACTTTCATAACAAAACTACTCTCGTTAAGATCATCGATATTCGTAAAATCAGTTTTTCTGTTACTATGACATTCTTATATTGAAATTTTCCTTCTCTAGGAAAGACCCTTTCAGAAACCTTCATTATAAGATTTCCATCGAAAGTTTTATCCATAGACAAGTTTCAGACCCAATACAACATCCTAAAGGTTTTAGCTTAACCAATAAATAAAGAAGATTAATAATTGAAATTTTCTTTACAATAAATATTTACTATTAAAAAGAAGTTACCTCTTGTGTACATTGAATGTTGATTTAAAATAATTAAGTGTTTCTCTTTCAAATTTTTTTGATAAATCTTGTGTAGAAATAAGACTTAAAACTGATTTCATAGACGATAATGATCATTTCTGATGAATTTAATAAACTTTTATGTATTTGATAAGATGAACGTATTAATTCGAATAATTTCCAAAAGTACCTAATTGTGTACGATTAACTTTTTTTATCTTTGTCTGTATTTGATGTTGTTGATGAATCGTTTTCATTCTATTTAAAAAGAAAAAAAACAAATGAATTCATTCAGACGAAACATGGTCAAATATATTCTTCAAATCTAAAACATTGGAACTCTCTTCTTCTGTGAAAACTGAAATATCAACTATATTCTGTCCAAAAGAATGATGATTGTGAATATTTTTGCAATAGTTCGAGAACGGTAATAAAATAGTTCAATTTTCCAATTACTTGAATCATTTGTGCTACTTTCAAAACATTTTTTCATTTGTTGAGATTTGATAAATCTTCAAATAAAAAGAAAGAATTAAAAAAAAAACATAATAAATATCTTTTTTTTCTCTTTTCTTGAAAAGATTAAATTATTAAGATCATGTCATATAAAGGGATGTTAAAAAAAATTATAAATAAACGAAGTTCATCATATTGATTATGAAAAAATTGGTCGAATTGTTGTTGGTCTTAAAACATTTGAAAGAACATAAATATCTTCTAAACATCCAACCTATATAAAAGACAAAAAATAACAAACAATTTGTATTCGAGTTGATGCTTGAACGTGTAATGAATGATGAATTTTATATATCCATTGACATGGTAAAAATGAATTGTGATCAACAAAACCTTAAAATCAAAAAGTACCTAATAACTAACTTAATGCAATAAAATCGACTTATTCATCCAAATTCGAAAAAAGCTACGTAGTTATTATCTCTACAAAATACATACTTAGCAAAAGTCGAAGCAGTTGCTTGACGAACACGTATATCAGGGTACTGTTGTTTTAATTGTTGCTCAAGATAAGTTAATATTCAAAAATCAATATCATCTATAAGTTGAGCTAGCGCAAACTATTTTATATACATACAAAAAAAAAATTATTATAATCATAAATTTCTTTTATCTACTTTAGCAAGAGTACAGAAACTTGTAGTATGTTGAATAGAATCTTCTAATAATTTAATTCCTATGATTGTAAATGCATGACTATTAATTAATAAAAAAAGGTAATAATGTTCGTAAAGCATTTAGTGAAACATGTATAACACGTGCATTATTATCATTAAGACATATAACCTTGAACTGTCTTGTGAATCAGTTGATACAAGTGAACATTGTTTAATAAAAGATGAATTGTTGTTTGAATTAATGTAGCAAGTAAACTTGCACATGCACCACGTAAATGTAGATCACC